TTTATTATTATTTACTAAGTATAAAATTTAATTCTTTATCATCTCTTACAAAAAATCAATTCTTTAAAGAAAAAGTATTTTAATTTAACAATGTCACACAATTTTTATTGGACAACGATCACGTGACAGTCACAGGAGTGCACTTAGAGTGAGTTTTATATAGATGGGAATGAAAAAAGACCGTACAGGGGGAAGTGGTGTGCACTTATCTCTAATTCCTGAGCTTGGGAATCAATGAAAGCGTGCACTTAGAGGGGGTTGACTGTATTATTAGATGATCAACAAAAAAAAAAAAAATCAAAAATCATTAATTTTGAAAAACAAAAACACTTCTTAATAAATTAAATTTTTAATTAAATAATTTGAATTTTAAGTTCTAATACAAAAAAATTTCTATTAATATAATAATGAAAAAAATAATAATTACCTCCGCTTTTATTTATAAATGATTTGCAATAAGTTACACGTGACAAAAATCGGAAACAACCAGTCTAATGATTCTAACATTCATCATTCCTATTTAAGAGAGAGAATTCTTGAAGGAAGGTCTAGATTATTTTTAAGGAATCTTAGATTAGAACAAGAGACTATACCGCCAAGAGTTTCTAGAATAAGGAAAGACCTAGGTAGAGAATTGTTTAATGAAAATTAATTCTGAAATGAACAATAATGATAGATAGTTTCGAAAATAAAGCATAAATACATATTCGCGGAAATTATTATACTATAGCATACCTTTAGCATAACTTATTATTATTATCATCATTCAAGACTCGGCAAAAAAATTTTTTATTTTTTAATTAAGAGATAACAAATGTTGCACAGAAAAATCAATTTTTTTTTCAACAACAAAACTCCAAAAATCAACACATCATTAGAGTAAAAATTTTATCTTACTTTTTTTTATAAAAGATTACTTGCTGATTAGTGATTTTTTCGTCAATTTTCCCCCGTCGATCACTATATAGTACTCGCTGATTCATACTCTGATAAAAGAAAACATCTTTTTTTTTTTTGGAAGCTTTTGACGATAAAAAAAGTTCAAATTTCTGAAAAAAATGAGGAGGTTGATGTTAAAAACAGAACTCCAAGCTTGAACGGCCTAAACCATTACTGTAAACAAATTCAATTAATAACTTGTAAGGAAAAAACAGCTCTAAAATTACCAATTTACTTGGACTTTATTTCTAAAAAAATCATCGAAATTATTATTTTTGACGAGATTATTGATCGTATAGTGCAAGACACCTAGTCCCACAACTTTTCATTGTCCTTGTAGATCCTTCTCTAACTCCAAAAATGGAAATGT